GGGGGCCGAGAGGAAGAAGCTTACCCAGTGAACGGCGACGCAGTGTAAATCATCATTGGGGCTGAGAGCTCGTGCCTCGCGAAGCAGTCGCCCACGGTTCCACCGGCCACGCTCAAGAAAGCTGAGCCGGAAAGGCCGTCGAGGAAGCGGGCCACGAGGGTGGTGGCCATGTTCTGGGCCAAGGCGCACGGGATCAGCCAGATGAGAAAGAAGCCGTAGGAAACGATGTAGATAGGCCGGCGGCCATAAAACTGGTTCAGCCATCAGCAAACAGGAAGCCAGCAGCTCGGTGCAGACGCACGCGGTCAGCACGGCTGTCACACGTACTTCAGATAAGGGGCTGAGGATCATAGGCCCGCAGCCCAGGCCGGCGACGTAGAGAGACAGGCCTAGCGTGGCCACGATTCGAGAGCTGTGGAACTCGGAGAGCAGCTGGGCATATGTGCTAGTGTAAATGGACGACACGCATGTCCTGTGAAATGCCCTGGGTCAGCCCCAGAACGCGGCCATGGACGACGGCAAGAGCAAGAATTGGAAGAATTATTTTTGGCCAGGAAACACACACGGCAGCACACTTACACGCAGAGCGAGCTGGACGACACGATAATCACGATCAGCCACCTCCTGGCCTTGTTCATGAGGCGAGGATTGCGGACGGCGGCCGAAGCCTGCGACTCTGGCAGCGTGTCCCATGTGACTTCAAACTGCTCACACGGCGCGGCGGGCTTGTCGTCCTCATCCCAGCGTGTGTAGCCATCCCCGCCGGCGTATGATCGATGCGAGTGCACAGTGTGCAGGCTCCGGCTCCGCGGTCGGCCGCTGGCGTGCTCGACGCCGTGGTCGCCGTGGTCGCCGTGGTCGTCGTCGTCGTCGCCCTCTCCCCTTATCGGCGCAAACGTCCTGGTCCTTGTCGCATCCCCGGCGTCGAGCCCAAGCTGCTTCTCCTCGTCGCCGCCCGGCACGGTGCCAACGACGCTCTTCTCGGTCGATCCATCCGCAGGCAGCGGTGACGGGGTGTTGGTGCTGCTGGTGCTGGCCCTGCTGCTCTTGCTTGATGAGGAACGTCCCCGTGACATCATCAAACGGGGATGCGCTAGCGGCGCAAGGGAAAAAAAAAACTTCTAACGGTGAGTCTCGTTGGCAGTGCAGCGCGGGCAGGCGACGCGATGGCTCTGGCTTTTCAATGGGAACCAGTACACAGGCTACGGCTCGCGCATCGCGCAATGACAAAGAGAGGCGAGGGTCACTAAGGAGGGGGAAATGGACGGCTGGCCTGTTACAAAGCAGACATTAATTCCGTCACGCAGACCCGCCGCTCTGCCGCCGAGGCTAAGATCGCCTGCGGGGATGCCAGGAATTGAACGGAAGCGGTGGCGCATGGCAGCAGTCGGCAAATCCGAGCGAGTCGGCATGGCGACGACGGCGACCGAAGACTGAGAGGGAAGTTTTGACGCGAAGAGCGGCACGGACTCGGCCCAGCGGGCCATGGGCGACGGGCGTCACGGCGTCGCGGCGTCGCGGCGTCGCGTCGTCACGCGGCGGTGGTGTCGGCTGTCGGCTGTCGGCTGCTTTGCAAGCAGCTGTGCACGAGTCGCGATTCGGCGGCAGGCAGACGACGGCGTTTGGGCGGGCGGCACGGCATGCGCGGCGCATTTCTCAACAGCGTGGCAGCCGCACACGGAGCTCGACTGGTCGACTAAAAGAAGCTTGTCGTTCGGCCCGCTGCCCAGCCTCCTAAGTCAGCAACTGACATGAGCCATTTTTCAGCAGCGTGCATCATTTCGCTTGCGACACCACGTCTTCGCATCCCAGAGCCACGGTGAGTGACAAAGCAATCGACCCACCTACATGGGCAGCCGCGTCCTGTGTCTGGATGCATTTGTATAGTGTAATAGTGCTCACGTCTACACCCGGATATCTGCGTCAGCTACCGACTCAAGTCGAAGGCACACTTGCTGCAACTGCCCACACAGTCTCTTCGGCCACCCACTGTGGAGCGTGGGCGATGGCGTTAGCGACGGCGGCTACCTACGGAGCACAACAAGCGGGCGGGCCCTCAGCCCTTCATAAACCCCGACTCGTCGGCGCCAGCGTGCGTGTTCATAGTGGACAAGGCTTCATGAACACCTTTCGAAGCATCAAACATGGCATCCCGCCAAGCCTTCCAAGCATTGTTCCAAGCATTCGCGAGTCCGCCGTTTCCGCCTGATGTTCAGGGTGACAGGATGACGCAATCATCGGACCCTCGCTTGGGTGCTCCCGTCGTCTCGTCACGACGAGGCAGCGGCAGCCTGGCACTTGCGTTCGAGCCGCCCGTTCTCTCCTCACCATCATCGCCCGTCATGTCTTGCTTCGTTTTTGCTTTTTCCTCAAATGCATTTGCAGTGCTCGGCAGCAACAGCGGTGCCGCCTCACGCCTCGTCCCCTCCCTGCATCGGAGCTTTCTCGACGACGGAGCCCGCTGATCTTCCAGCCGCCGGGCATCTCTCCCTTGCTGAGCTGAATATTCCCACCCCTCTGTCGCCTGTGACGCGCGCGCGTGTGCGTCACGGGGCTGTCGGCCGTATCAGCATACGAGGCTGCCTCCGGTTGCATCTCCGCGCCTTCTGGAAGGCTTGATCGGACGGGGCCGTGGGGCCCTACATGATGGGCACCGGCTGGGCGCGCGCGCGTGTCGACGGTTAAGGAATGTTGGGCGAGTGAGTAACACAAACTGCTGGCATGTTACAAGGCCCCACGGTGAGACCTGAGCTTACGGACAAGGCCGCGCGGGCACTCTGCTCCTGCTGACCGAGGGAGGTGCATGCCGGCGAAGCAATGGCGACAAGGCAATGGCGACATCAACCGCCCTCCCCGAAGCAGCCAGTCGTGCTGGGATCAATCAGATTGGCGCCGATCAGGAAGGCGCATGCTCTGGGCTCGGTAGAGCTGGTGGCTGTATTGTTCAGATCGCATCCTTGCCAGTCAACTGTGGACCCAGGCGTGCGGATTATACGAGCTCCCGCGCCGTTGCATGTCAATGCCTAAAGCAGAACTCGATGCAGCTGAGCCGGCCGACGCGAGGCCTGGAATCCGCCGCCACGGAACCGAAGTTAACCTCTGAAAGAATGGCTTGTTTTGTCTGACTGCGCCTTGAGCCAGACCATGGCAATCAAGGCACCGCGTGCCACACATGTTGTAAACATGCAGCCCCGGCTGATCCCCTCTCCAGACACGCCGGACGACGTTGGGAAAAGGAAACAATCTGCAGCCGCCTTGTCTCGTCGCGACCTCCGCCGCCTGGTCACAACATGGGACCTGGTCTGCCGACTCCCTCGTCGATAGCGCCTCTTGAACCATCTGCAAGGTGCAACACTGACCGCTACAGCCGCCACGAACGCCTTTGCTCTCTCACCGCCAGCTGAGCCGCCGCCTCTGGGGACGGCCGTGATGGTCTGTCATCTCCGGTCCATGAATTCCAGATGGCCTTTCGCCAAGGTCTGACACTGACACCGTCAATGCTGTGCCTTGCTTGGTCTGATCTGTGCCATGTGCCATGTGCCACAACCATGAGCTGTCCATGGGGGCCGTCATGCCAGCATCCTCTATTCCCTCTCAACCTTTTTGCTGATGTGTGCGGACGAGAGATGGGAGGGAGCAACGCAAAGCACTTCTTGCACACGTTCATCTGCACCCGCTAATCCATGTGCTCCGGAAGAGGAAAGTTCCGTCCGAAAGAGACTATCGGTTAGAGGCCGTTGATCAGGGTTACCACATGCGTATAGCCGGAGCCCCTCTATTGACCACCGTACAGATCAACAAAACGCACTAGCAGGCTCTCATCAGCCGCCTAACGGTGCTGCCTAACGGTGCCGCCTCACGGTGCCGCCCAATTGCCACAATACTCTCGCTTCGCCGCCTCAAGATTTTTCCGCTGAGGTTTACTCTCTAGCCCTTCCCCTATCTTTCCCTGCCATGTACATACATACTTCGTACCTATGCCGTCCGGCGACCCCGAGCCTGCGGATATTATTCACACCTTTGGTTCTTCCAGCTCTCATTATTGATCGCTCACATTCGGGGATGGAGGTTGCCGCCTATCCCCTGCCTCTGCATCATGTGAGGGTCAGGCCGGTCGACACAGCCGACATAGGAAGTTGGTGGGCCCGCGGACAACACATCGCTGAGCGGAGCCGTTAGTTGCCTTGTGCTAGTGCTCGTGCTCTATCTCTCACGGCGATGCCGTCTGTTGAAATTAGGCCTCCAACTCCAGATTCAGAAATGCCGGCATAGATGAAAGCGCGATCTTCGTCTTCCCGGGGGTGAGAAGGATTGCATGCCCGGGGGGGAGCGCAGGGGGAAAGCTCGTGTTCCAAGATATCGATACGCACTTTTCGATGGGAAGAAGGGCAGTTGAGCTGTGGGCATCTCCCTGTCCGGGCTCTTTTCTTCCCCGTCATATCCTCGGCTTTCTGCAGCTCCGTCCCCATCCTTGCTACGTACTACGGGAACCGGGGGAGTTTATTTGGACAGCCGTGCAGCAAACGGTGCACCGTGGTCAGCCAGCCAGCCACACTGGCGATCCTCCTGCTGGACTCATGCGTGCCTGCTGACGCGGCGGTAACCACTCCGCTGTCGTAGGAAGGAAGACTCGGAAAGCACGTTTCAGGTTTGCCGTGCGAACAGGTTTGTGAAGAGGCCGCACTTATTGGATGGAGGCAGAGCTCTGGTTTGACCAACACGAGCTTGGCGAAAACCTCGCTTGGTCCAGGGAGAGAGTGGTTTCTCGGCGAGGACTCCTGGCGGAGGCCACGAGTGGATGAAGGCGCTAATTCTAGCTCGCGTTGCAAGTGGGTTCATGGAGGTCTTGGGAGGAGAGGCCTGTGAGAGATGGCAGAGGACCGGTAGTCAGCTTGATCATGATATCCACCGCTCCAGTTCAGAAAACTCACACGCCGCTATGCGGATGGCTGATATTTGCTCCTGAGACTTGTGTCTGAGCGAAACGTTGGAGTGTTAGATCGGTATGAGACCCCTCTATTGCAAAGCTACTTCACACTGAGGATTCACATACCTCCTGTCAGTGACAGATCACAGCGATATGGGCATTCACCCTCATACGATCGAACACACTCGCTCCACTAAACTGTATTTACACATCATGTCACAGAAGGCTGGGTGTTCTTAAACACCGACCCTGTGCTACGTGATCGAGTTGTCCCTTCGAATACAATCTTGTATGTGAGATGGAAACATTGGGCGAAACGCTTCTTCAAGTTGCCCCGCTGCGAGCAGGGCAATCAAGTATACCATTGTGGTGGTGGAGGATTCAGTGATGTCGTGTAGGGTGGGCTCTCTGCACACTACCAACGGGAGTGGAAGGTGCCTTGTCTGAGTCCTGAGACCTCTAAGAGCGGCCTGAACAAGACGTGGTATAAAGGCATTCTCTTTAGGCAGCTAAGCTAGAACAACAATCAACTACGACATTCCTTTATCTTCTCTCTCACCTCCCTGTTGTCTGTCTCTTGTTTCTTGTCTCGCCTGCCACGACGTGTGGTTGCTTCGACCGGTCATCCTGGGTGTTTACCAGACGTCCTAACCTTCGTTACTATAAACACAGTTATACAGGTTGCAAAAATGACTGGAGATTCTATACCGATTTGTTTTCATCTAGTGGAAGGAAGAGCAGTGGTGCACCACACTGGTCCTATACCGACGCCTTCACGGCATATCTGCAAAGGAAAAAAAGCTTTGCCACAGCTTAAAGTGATGGATTATTTGTCCAAGGACAGGCATGTGGTTTTCAAAGCGCTCAGGAGAACAGCTCCAGAGATGGAGAAACCAACATTGCTTACCAAAGGAACCTGGCCATCTCGTCCACAGAAATAAAAAAAACTGCATTGCAGGATGTCTCCCAGCGTCTCATCCATGAGCTTAAGATGGTCATATGCTGTGACGGGGTGTGTGAGTGACAGCTATATCCCGTACTCCGTAGCTCTACACACTGTTGTCTCATTTGATCATGAAGGGATCGACGGAGCCGTGTTCCTGTGCACCCATTACCAGACTTTCCAGAGCTCAATATTCCTTTCCCCAATAACGTTTATGACGGGGTTATGCGACAGATGGGGTGATGAGACAGCCAACTATATGCCGCGTGCGAAGCCGTGGAGTTTTTTTGGGTTCCAAACAACCTCTCCCCTCGATTTTTTTTTGTCTCATAATCCGTCTGTCGCGAAACCCGTAATAGACGATCGTAGGGTTTTGCTATTGTAGGGAAAGCTTCCCGCGGAGATTAGTATGACTAAAGCTGGAGCAGCGTGGATCAAGGTCCAACGCAGGGCTCGCGAACAGGTTTCTTCTGTCCAGCCAGGCTGACCACACGTGACATATGTACGATTACATCATGTCTTCAGATAATTGTCCCGTCTTTCCCCAGCATCAGAACCTCGCTGTTTCTTCTCCCTTTCAATCCAGTGCAGTAGTTAAATCGACTTTATCGCAATCGATTTATTACCACAAAAATCAGAATAATACGCAACCTCATCAGCATTGATGAACACTACCCAAACCGGAAGAATCAAGTAGTACAACAGCAATCCGAAAAGCACAAACAACCAAATCAAAATGTCCAACAAACAAGCCGTCGCCCGTCGCGCTGCGGCAGACGAGCAACAGATGAACAACAGCTACGCACGTCCACAGCCGCAAGTCGAAGCGCGCGAGCAATACGCCAGCGCCGAAGCAAAGGTACGTACAGCGTGCGTGCGTCATACAAGCGCGCCATCCCTCCCACTTTCCCCAAGACACTCGGGGGGGACCAACACGACGGCTCTGCTCAATTGCCCCGTACTCCTCCTCCTCCTCCCCCGCCGCGCCAAAACCCCACCCAACGATCATCCCCCCCGCCCTCCCCACCTTCCTCTTCAGCCCCAACCCCCCCCGCACGCGCCCCACGTTCCCCACGCCTACTCACCCACTCACCCACCCACCTACTAACCCCACCCACCCCCAACAGGCCGGCCTCAACCTCAACATCTTCGCCGCCCTCTCCGGCAGCATGTTCCAGCGCAAGACCAAGACGACCGACACGGCGGCGGACGGGTCCGCGCGCAGCGTCGAGCACACCGACACGGCGGCGCGAGGACAGGGGGCAGGGCACGGCAATCTGAGCGCGTACGGGGCGGCGCGCGCGGAGGGGCGGGACAGGGCGGTGGGGGAGGGGGCGACGAGGGCGATGGAGGAGGATTCGAAGAAGAGGAAGAGGAAGGCGGTTAAGGCGAAGGGGGAGGGAGAGGGGGGCCAGCAGGTGGTGGATCATTTGGGGATTGGGGCGTGGGGGGTGGAGGAGGAGGGGGGGAAGAAGTGAGGGAGGGGAGGTGGACGGGAGGGGAGGGGTTCTAGCGTTGTAGAATTTGGTTTATATATCGGGAATTTGAGATGTTGAGATGATTACTTCGGCTGCTACCCGTTTCTTTCTCCGTTGCCTATTCCGCTTGTTTTTGGGGGGCGAGGTTGGCGTTGTCTGATACGATTAATTACAGCGGGTGCCTCAGTCTTCGCCGTCATCGCTATCCTCAGTCCTCGCCAAATTACTATGCAACCGATGCTCCCCCATGGCCAAACTACACAGCGCACCGAGCGCCGCGATGCCAAACGTCGCCCACCACACCGCCGTCAACGCCCGCATATACGCCTCCAGCACGCCCTCCTTCCACTCGGGCGGCAGCCCCTGCACCGCGCCCACGCTGTCACGAATCCTGCGTATGACCTCGTCCGCGCCGTCGCGGCCGGCGAAGCGGCGCCACAGCTCGCGCTTGAGCACGTTCTGGAAGACGGCGCCGGCGACGGAGATGCCGACCGAGGAGCCCGTGGAGCGGAAGGCGTACGACGCCGACGTGACGACGGCCTGGTGGGCGTGGTCGACGGCCGAGATGAGGGCGAGGAGCGTCGTCGTCAGCATGCCGCCGTAGCCGACGCCGATGAGGAAGAAGTAGACAAAGGGCGGCCAGGCTGGCGTCGTCTGCGAGAAGGTCCCCGCTACGAGCCCGACGGCGAGGACTAAGGTCGCTTCGATGGCCGCGTTGAGGTACCAGTATCGGCCTGTCGCGCGCGTGATGAGGCCTACGGCGACGGAGCCCGAGGCGGTGCCGATGGACTGCGGGATCAGGCGGATGCCGGCTTGGGTGGCGCTGAGGCCGAGGACTTGGAAGTAGATGGGGCCGTAGTAGAGGATGGCGAAGACGGCCATGGTTGTGAACCAGTTTGTCAGGCAGGCGGTCCACACGGTGCGGTTGAGGAGCAGGCGGACCGGGATGATGGGTTCGGCGGCTACGCGATCCTCGACGGCGATGAAGGCCAGGAGGAAGACTGCAAAGAGTGGCAGGCTGACTAGGACGAGCGGATGCGTCCACGGCACGATGTTACCGCCCGAGTTGAGCGCGAGGAGGAGTAAAACCAGGCTGGTCACCAGCGTGATGCTGCCCAGAAAGTCGACGCGCTTGATGCGCGACATGTTCTTCTCTTTGACAGGGATCTTGATGGTGAGGTAGACGAGCAGACCGGATGCCACAATGAAAGGCACTTGGATCAAGAAAGCCCATCGCCAGGAGAGTGCGTCGTTGATCCAGCCGCCAAACACTCCTCCGAGTCCACTGCCCAGTCCGAACGAAAGGTTTCCAAAGCCCTGCCACAGCCCTCTCCGGCGCAACGGCACCAGATCGGTCGTCACAAATGTCGATATTGTGAGCAGTCCACCACCGCCCATTCCGGCGACAACTCGGCCCAGTATCATCACGCTCTGGCTCTTTGCAAGGCCGCATATCAGATTGCCAGCGCCGAAGAAGACATTCGAGACGATGAGACCGGTCCGTCGCGAGAATATGTCAGTCAGTCGCCCGCTCAGGGGCTGAATGGCAGCATTGGCGATGAGGTAAGCGGTGGCAATCCAGGAGAATAGAGTGAATGAGTTGAACGAGTCGGAGATGGGTGCGCTGAGGGTCGCGATGATGGTGGAGTCTTGTAGCGTCAGCGACGGCTGAGGAAGCAAAGAGGACAGGTGCACGTCTCACCTAGAGCTGCAAGAAAGACACCGACCCAGCAACTACCTAGAGTCAGCACCAGCATCGCTGTGCTGGGCTCCTCGGCCAGCGGGATGCTGTTGTCGGCTCCATTGCTGTCGCGCTGCCCCGCGTTGCCATTGGCGCCATTCTCAAGCAGCGGGCTGTGCTCTGTAGCCGTCGTAGAGTCATTCGGAGCTGCGCCAGGCGGACGCGACATGTTGCCTAAAGGTTACGAGCTCCTGCACAAGACGAGATGAAGTGAGAGCTTCATGATCCATGAGAAACGGCGCTGACGCCGGCTTCGGAAGTCATCGCGCAATGACGATCAATCGGCGCTCCAGCTAACCGACCGATCTCTCTAGCCTTAGGCAACGATCGGTCTACGTCATTCATTCTCAATCACTCGCTTGAGAGTTGGTCTTTTCTGGCATTTCGTGTCATATTTGGCCTGATACCCGCGGTTCGATGTGTTCTTCCATCAGGCCGAGGCTATGCCCAATACCTGCAGCTTAATGTCCCGTCCCATCGTGCAATAATTATTCCACACGCCGAAGGTAAATCGGCATGTTTTGTTTGGTGTAAGAAAAAAATGGTGCCTGGCAAAAGCCAACATGCGCCATCAATCGCTAATATCGAATGCCGTGATTTTAAGCGCCAGACTATGCGTGCAAATCCTCTGAGAAAGAAGTCGACCCTGCCCTTCACGCTCCCCTAAACCTCCAGTCGTCAAAGTCTTCGTCGTCGTCAAGATCATCATCGCTCTCATCCTCTTCGTCCTCCGCAGCCTTGCTCGGCACCCCTGCGATAGCCGCTTCCTCGGTCTGTCCTCGTACCTGGCGTAGCGCTTCTCTCTGAGCACGGAGCCGCTGGACCCTCTGCTCTAGCTCCTCCATTTCGTCGAACTCTTCCTCCAGGTGCCGTACAGCATCCTCCTTCTCGGCCTCCATCTCCTCCTCGCGCCTGCTGCGCTGTCTGTTCTGCTCGTTCTCCATCTGTGCTGCGAGCTCTTCGGCAGTCACGGGCTTCGCCTCGATCGTTGCGGCAGACTTGAGCGCCGCCAGCGCCGGCGGTTCCCGAGGTGGTGAGGCGGCGACTTCACGCTCGAAAGCCGCCCATTCTTCTTCGTCGACATCAGGCTCGGGTACTTGGGCAGCTATTGTGTCGATCGGAGCAGGCTCTGACGGGGTGGGTTGCGCAGTGGTAGTGAGAGAGTCGTGCGAGGCGGGACGAGAGGTGAGCTCGATGGACCTAGACTCGGCGGCGGGCTTTGCGCCGGGGTCGAAGAAGCCTTCCGGCAATCCATCTCCACCCGGACCCCTGGGCCGTTTTGCGGCAGGGTCCCAGTCCTCCTCGTCCTCATCGGACGCTTTCCGCTTGAGATTTTTGCTGGCGGGCGGGGCGGCAGTTTGGGCGGGCTTACGGGCAGGAGGCGGATTGCGAGCGGCGCGTTCGGCGCGCAGCATTGCGCGGACGTCTGCCATGGTGGTGAGACGCGCGAAAGGGCTGTTAAGGAGTCGAGGTGTGGAGCGACGGGTGTGGGCGGGCTGGACAGGGAGCTGGCAGCAGCATCTGAGCGGCGGCAAGGGCCGGGCGGTGAGGTCAGTCCGGCGGGCAGCTTCTGTTGCGGCGCAACCTGCCCGCAGGGCCTCCTAGCGTCCTTTGCGGCGCCTGCACGTGACCTTGCCGGCCAGCATTTCCGCCTTCTCCACCTTGAGTCCGCAGCTTCAAACCCGCGCGCGTCAACATTCTGCACATCCCACCCTCACCCTCACCACCACACGCACCCGCAACGCCCGCGGGCCCCTGCAATCGCCGTCGCATGCTGCTGCCAGCCCTCGCTCTACTAATTGCTATCGACAGCTGCACCCTGAACCAGGTCGCGCACGCGACTCCGCCGCTGGCAGGGCTTGGCGAGGCGCGCTCAGATCGCATCGCGCGAGCGCTCCACGCATCGCTCGGGACTGAGTCCACCGACACCACCGGCAGGCTGGGAAGGAAGGAATTCGGACGTCGTAGCTGCGACGCGTAGCTGTCTTGTTATTTTGTGCCTCAAAACGCAGGCCGTGTCTCGCGCCAGCAGCATCTTCGCATCATCAGTCCATAGTAGCAACCTGTGAAGCCCGGCGCGTCGCGCTCTTGAACCCAATCCGACACGCCGCCGAACGCACTTCTTGTCCGTGACGCGTGAAGTTACAATTCCGCCATGGCTGGTAAGCACGCCACCACATGCGCGAGCGAGCCTGCCCGCCGCCCAGAGCCACCTCGCATTCACCCCACACCCCACCAAAGCACCGACACAGCTGACCCGCCCTCAGAGGAGATTCGCAGATCCGGCCGAGCCACCAAAGGCCAGCATACCAAAGACCGCGACCTTCCCGAGACACCCGTCCCGTCCAAACGCAAGAGCACCACCAAGAAGAGCGCGAAGAAAGAGACCGAGCCCGAGCCCGAGGACAATGGTGACGCCGACGCCATCATCCGCTGCATATGCGGCTCCGACGATGACGATGAGGGCGGCAGGATGATGATCTGCTGCGACAACTGTGATGCGTGGCAGCACAACGACTGCATGGGCCTGACCGAGGATCCCAAGAAGCAGCCCGACAGTTACCTGTGCGAACAGTGCAACCCGGATGGCCATCAGGAGACATTGCAGGCGCTCAAGGATGGGATCAAGGTGTGGGAGGTCAGGTTGGAGGAGAAGAAGAACAAGTCTAAGAAGGGAAAGAAGAGCAGCAGGAAATCACGCCAGAGCGAAATCCGCGCGGCTGCCGGAGGCGACACTGCCAGCCCGAAGCAGCAGTCGAGTCCTGCGCCGGCGCCGTCGCAGAAGGCCGACACGGAAGAGCCTGGTCCCAATGGCAGCGCTGAGGTGCGTTTGCCCAACTTGCCGTCCGGCCGACTACACTGAATTCTAACCGTTCAATCTAGGTCAAGAGCCCTACGGAGGCTACGCCCTCGGTCAAGAGGCGGTCTGAACCTAGCGAAGACCCTGTTCCCAAGCGTCGCAAGAGTACGCAGCAGAAGAAATCCGTGGAGCCCGCTCCGGTCACGCCTGTGCAGCCCGCAACCGTAGAGGAACTTCCCGATGACCGCAAGCGGGTGGCAAGCAAATTGCGTGGCGATCTCGTCAAGCTTATCAAGGACGTTTCCAAAGAAGACTTCAAGATGCCTGATGGCGAGACACCCGACTCCTTGGGCACGCGCCTTGCTCTGGATGTGGAAGCTGCAATGCTGAAGCACAACCCTGCGGGCCCTAACGCATATGCGCAACAGTTCCGAAACATCGTCGCCAACATTCCTCGCAACCACACTCTTCTGGTCCAGCTGCTTCATGGTTCCGTTCTGCCCGAGCAACTTGCTACCATGTCTGCTGAAGACATGGCGAGCGATGAGCTGAAGCGTCAAGACACCATCTTAAAGGAGCAATCCGACAAGCAAACCATCCTGACGAACGAGGGAGGCCCGACTCGCATTCGAAAGACACACAAAGGCGAAGAGTTTGTTGAGGATAGCAACGAGCAGCCGACAGCCGACGAGCCCACATACGCACCTCCAATTCGCCGGGAGAGCCAAGCCGAAAGCAATCAGCGTTCTCCCACGTCGAGGGGAGGTAGCCCCATGCAGGGTGTGGAGCTTCCCGAAGGGGTCGGTGAAGGCCAGCGTCCTCTTCACGTCGATACGGGACCACGCAGACAATCGTCGACGAACTTCGATGTCAACTCGGTTTGGGCGAAAGTCCAGAGTCCGAACGAAAGCACCGTACGCAAGCTTTCGCAACAACACCGTCGCCGCCAGAGCTCGATCCAACAGCCTCAGCCTTCAGTAAATCAGGAGGATCCAGACGTGGATCGTCTCTTGAAAGATGACGACGATGAAGGCCAGGCCTTCGCGCCGTCGGACGAGACCATCAAGTGGAGGGGCGAAATCTTCATGCCCAACCAGGGCGCATTCAAGGTTGTTGGACGCTTTGCCGGAGGGGGCGACGTCGGCCAGTTCATGCCTTATGATCAGCTCATTCCTCGCCCTACAGAAGTCAACGGCCGTATTGATATGGCCAAGACGGAAGATTATATCCAAGGCATGCGTGCCAGCCTCCTTCACGATGTTGCAATCCTTTCGCTTACGCCGGAAGACCAAGAGAGCAAAACGACGTATGACAATGTCTTCAACTACTTCTTCCCGAAGAGCAGGTGGGGCGTTATCGGTGGCACAAGGCATGATAGAGTTCGCGATGTCTACCTCATCCCCATCCCTGCCGGTGCCGGGACGCTTCCTGCATGCATTGAGATGCTCAACAATGTCACCATCGAGGTCCCTCGTCCGGATAATATGCTCTTGCTTATGATGGTTGTGAAGACCAGCGAGCCGAGCTCCGCCCAAGGAACACCCCTACAAGTGGATGCGTCCTCTGGTTTCAATGCAAACAATGGCCTTCACATGGCTGCTGGTCAGATGACTGCTAGTCAGCTCACTCCAACGGCCACCCCTACCGCTCCAGCTCCTACGAACGCCTTCACGCCACAGATGCATGGCGCATACCAGCAGTCGCCGCAGCAACCTCAAGGCCCGTCTCCCGTAAACCATTTGCCCGGTTATGGCGGTCCTCCCTCGCAGTACCAGCATCCTGCAGGCTATCCCCAGCATGCCTCACCGCCGCAGCCCCAGCAGATGCAGCCCTTTCCGCCTCTGATGGGCCAGCAGAGTCCGCTTCAAGTTCCGGCACATTTGCAAGAGATAGCCACGCGCATCCTTGGCCCGTTCATCGAAGCTCCTGTTGTGCGGACGATGCTCCAATACTCGGGTGAAGCGATGAAGGAAGACTCGCTGATCGGATTGAAGCAGGTTCTCGAAGCGGTGCCAGCCGCAAGGGACGACTTCCAGGTTTTGATGCAGGAACTTAATAGGCCCAAGGGCCAGAACTGATGAGAGATGCCATCGGCTGAAAACGTGAGGAGTTTGGAGTATGGTACCTCTACTATGGTCAAGAGATGTCCTAGGCCTTTGCACGACTCGAACACCATTTCCGAAGGCTTGCGGCACGACGAAAGATGACGAGGACAATGTTGGCTACTCCCTCAGGATACTCTTCAACTCTCCCCGTCTTCCTGAGCATGCTTTTTGCACAGAGCGCCATTGCCTGCAACTGTCGTCTTCATCATCAAGGTCCAGAAATCCATACAGTGTGCACCAGTCGCTCGCAGAGGAAGAACTGGATAAACAACGGCGCGTCTCCTACCGAGACCACAGGATAACAGTATACATCATGTCGGCGTATAAAAAAAATGGGGATCAAAAGAACAAGGGGTCTTTCTTTTTTCGTGCACCTTCTGATACCACAGGAAAAAGCAGAGGTGCCTTTAGCGGAGGTCCCATGTTCTCTTAATCGGGGATTCAGGGGAACGTCAAAGTTTTATTCTCCTTGATTCGATCTCTAATTCCTTTTTTTTCCCCCTCAAGCCCCGTAGTTGCTTGCTCCTTGCCGTTCTTGGGTCGAACTTTTTTTTTCCTTTTCAAATAAATGAGGAGACCAACCATGGTTGGTTGCGCGGGACGGAGATGGAAATCTTTTTCACCATGATCGGAACGAAGAAGGAAAAGCAATGGGGGTGTACGAGAGCCTGGGGGGAAAGGGAAAAGAAGGGTGGTGGCTGTATGAATAGTTCAACCTACTCGAGGCTTCTTCTTCACATTGAGCTGAGCGGCGACTGGCGGACGTCTCTTTCTGTTTTACTCTCTATCTTTCTCTTTTCCCTCGTTCTTCCCACAGAGTTGCTGTAGGTTGTGAAACCAGAGACAACACAAAAAGAATTTTTCTTGCAAACTGATGTGAGTGTAGTAGGTGTGTTTGCCGATGATCGTGTCGTGTCTGTCTGATATGGGGTGGGTGCGATGGACGGATCGACCTCGATCCGTCTCGGTTATTATGATGGCGATGATGATGGCGGAAGAATTCAAGTCGTGGAACGGAAATGGTCTATCAACGGAAGCTTGTTTACTGCCTGTCTATGTCCTTGAGTCCCCTGAATAAAAAAAAAAAAACCGGCCCTCGCCACCGCTTTCTCCTATTGCACCCAACTGGTAACTCAACGCCTGCGCGGAACGCCATGAGTATATGACCGAAACGCTTCAAAAGCCCGTGAAAACAAAAATGACAAGAGACATATAAGTCATGTGGCCTGGTCTGGTCTGGTCCGGTCTGCGTCCCGACATTGCAACCGACACAGCACTCCCAAACTTCCTCCTTCTTCCCCTTCTCTCTCTCCCTCTCCTTACTCACCCGCCCACCTCCCTACCTAATCGCCAACACGCTCCTCCCCCCATCACTCGTCAACCTCGGCCTAGTCCTAAACCTCAAACACTCCGTCCCCAACTTCGCGATCCTCTTCGGCGCACCCGCCCCCCGCCCCCCTCCCCCCTCCACCAAAAACACCCTCACCATCGCACTCGGCGCAAACACCAACCCCTCCCCCACGCCCAACGTCACAATCTCCTCAAACAACGCGCGCACCTCCTCCTCGCTGCGGCCGGCGACGGCCGACAAGCCCGCGAGGTGCTGGCGCAGCACGGCGAGCCAGGCGGGGCTGGCAAAGCGGTGGACGAGGGTGAGGGAGCAGAGGTCGAGGAGCTTGGGCGAGACGGTGGGTTCTTGGGTCGCGACGATGATGCGCGTGCCGGCGTGGCGCTGGACGCGGATGGCGGTGAGGAGCGAGTCGGTGAAGCGGTCCGAGGCGGTGGAGGTGGCGGAGAGGTATTTGTGGGCTTCGTCGAGGGCGATGACGCGGCCGAGGGAGGGGGAAGGGGGGGATTGGGGGGAGGGGGAAGGTGGTGCGTCTTCGAGGAAGAGGGCGAGGCAGATGTCGAAGAGGGTGCAGGCGCTGGAGGCGTCGATGAAGGGGTCGGTGAGGTCGACGATGGTGAGGGAGCCCGGGGGTGGGGAGAACATGTCGGCGGTGTTGTTGTTGTCGTCGGTGCCGTCGACGTCGAGGAAGGATTCGAGGAGTTGGAGGCGGAGGGTCATGGGGCCCTTTTGGTCGCCGGTGAGGCGCTCTTGCTCGAGGAGGCGGATGAAGCGCTTGTAGTCGAATTGGAAGGATTGCTGGGCCGAGGTGGCCATTTCGCGGAGGATCTTGTTGATGACTTCCATGTACAGCGGCACGCGGCCGTTGCTCTCGTTGAAGGCCATGAGCGACAGCATGCGCTCCACGTTCAGATGCTTTGGCTTCAGTCTCAGCTGCCGGACGTTCAAGCACTTTTGCGGATCGGGGATGTTGGCGTAGGCCTGGCGCAGACGCCAGTAGTTGCTGGGGCTGACGAGCACGTTGACCTCGACGCCGGCGCTGCACAGATGGGCGGCTTCACACACGCCGCCGGCGGCCAAGGCGTCGGCGTGGAAGACGATGCCCTGCAGGGGCTCGGGCAGGCGGCCCAGGGCCTTGTTCGGCAGCAGGCAGCCCTCGAGCATGACGGCCAGGGTGTGCGACTTGCCGGAGCCTTGCGAGCCGCACAGGAAGGCGGACCACGGGGCGTTTGTGTTCAAGAAGATGGGCTCGACGCCGTCCGGGTTGTGGGCGGAAGCGCGGGTGGTGGCGGTGGTGCGCTCTTGGCCGAGCAGGGCGAATTGGTCGAAATGGGCGCTGGCGGGGGTGCGGCCGCGCTTGCGCTCGTCGGCCAGGGCGAGCTTGACGGACCAGGAGAAGAGCGGTGCTGTGAGAAGCTCCTCGATGTGCAGGCCGCAGACGGAGGTGTCGTCGTCGGCTTGCTGCTGTGCCTGCTTCTTCTTGGGCCTGAGGACGTCGAGGTAGCGCGTCAGCTCTCGCACGACGCGGTCGACGCCGCGAGGATGGCTGCTTCCATTCGGAGACGAAGCTTCATTGGTGACGGAGCCTCTGTCTGAAGCTGCGAGCGAGTTCCGGAAGGGTAGATCGCTGCTCCCAAAGTCGGCCATGTTGGACGAGTTGGCGGAGAAGTTGAACACGCTGCTAGTGGAGCCGGGGGGTTTGGGGGAATTAGAGCTCCGCCGGAAGGATGGCATGATGGCTGTCCGAGGAGAGGTGATTGAGTTTGCTTCAACGATGTTTGCGGGGTGTAGTCGCGTCGGCAAGGCTGGGAAGACGCGTCGGGGTGATCGGAATGGGGACGTGTAAGAAATTTCCGCGCGGCCGTCTTCCTTGCAATTGACCTTTGCAGACGGCCTTGGCCAATGCAAAGAGTGAATGACAGAAAAGGAAACTAGAGCACAGACTCCGGGGTATCACACAGGCGGGGAAAGGCAGAGTACCATAGTGGCGGGGGCCAGAGCGGTGGTTTCGGTGCCGGGTGAAATGGAAAGTTTGTCTAACGCGATAAGCGAGGCAGGAGCTAGTTCTACTAGTTACGGGACGGATCCCTGCTCCGTCCTTTGTCCTGCGGAGACGCTGCGGACAGCTGCCTCCCGAAGGCGGTCTGGAAAAAGCGACAGTCATAGATTGGGTTGCTCAAGTCATTTGCGCGTTTGTAGCCATGAGATTATTATTCTTATCTCTTGGTGCCTCGTCGAGTGCCGATCGCATCGGGCCACGCGCGATGCCCAATGGCTCCACTTCCAAGTCTACGGTCCGATGACCCTTCACCTTTGTTTTTACTTCATCAAAAGTTGGCGAAGCACTGTCTCTCCATCCACGGCCATGAACATCGAGCTACCTGAAAAAGAACGAAAGGGCAAACAGTTGTCGGGTACAGAAACGACGACTTCCAAAAGCCATCAAAGCATCGCCCCATGATTACCTCTGCCCACGCCGCTATCATGGGCGCCATAATACCCCGTGTCATCATACGCAAACTGCTCATCCGGCACCGCATACCCCGTATGCTTGGCCGTCTTCCGAACGCGCTTATCCTGCTGGTCTTCGAAAGGCCTCTGCTCGGCGTACGGCTCCTCGACGTTGGTGGACCACGGCGACTGTTGCGGAGCTGATGCGCCGCGCTTCACATCCAGCGTCAGCATCTGGTTGTACTTGCCGCGACGCGTGGACCGCTTGAAGACGTAGATGTCCAAGAGGAGGGCTGCGAGCGTCGATACACTAACGACACGGTCAGCAGGTGTGGCCAATGCAGATCAGAGTCGAGGCGCCATTACAGTCCAAGCAACGAGAAAGAGAACAAGGCCTTGTAGATGCGGCATATCATGATGCCGTCGTCGTCGTGCCAATTGGCCTTGTTGCAGACGTGGCCCATCGTCCCGGACGACCACCACGACAGCAGCGCGAATCCAAGGGTCCAGATGACCAAAAGACCAGAGTTCAGCAGCAGATTCAGCCGAGGATTCAGGCCGCAGCAGCAGTGCTGCACCAGGGTCAGGCACAGAAAGAGAAGGGTGAGGACAGAGACGGTCAAGAGCTGCACGAGGTCAGGCGATGCTGCACGCGCTATGTTCCAGGACGTACCAAGAGGAAGGTCCACGGGATGGAGTAGCCGTCGCGGTGAAGCTGGTCGACGAAGAAGGCCAGGACGCACGTCACCACCGCGGCGGCGAGAAGCTGCGCGCTGCGCAGCGAGTGGAACGTGATGCGCGGATAGTGCGTGGGCTGCACTCTGCTGGTGCGCGCCATGTTGGCTGAACGAGGGGACGACGCGACGGTTACGCGGTGCAAAGTGACGCCTAACCAGAGGCTGTACACATCAGAGCGCTGCGTGAGGAGAGCGAAAGAGGGCGGCCAGGCGAACACCAAGAAGACAGCGGCAGCAGCAGTCTAATTGTTGCTTCTGGCCATGCCGCCCGTCAGCCGGACTATCGTTTCGCTGGCCTCGTCGGCCAATGGCGATGGCGGCAGGTTCTGGCCCCATGCGTGGTGAAACGCCTCCGCAGCCGGAAAAGCAAGGGGCGTCCGGTCGCTTGGGTATAACCTACCTAGGCCCTGCCCATTTGAAGATTCGATGGAGACTCGTTCCTGCCGCGCTTATTCTGGTGTCTTCTGCTGCTGACTGATGAGGCTATTGCGCCATCCAACCCGACAAAGGCTGGAACCGCCAATGGGGGGCCTCGCTAGGCGGTGTGCGGCAGGCCACGGCTGACGGTCCCGCTCCACCACCACGTCTGCTTGATCATCATCAAGCAGAACCAGAGACATGGCGTGTCCGCCCACCCCAGTTACGGCATCCGTCCAAGTACACGTAAACGACCCTATGCCACCATGAGTCAGTGAATCGTATATCACCCCGACTCTCGCCCGTTCCTTTGTACCCACTTCGAGCCCCCTCCCTCGACCATCTTCCACTGCACGGCACCCCTCCCCGCACCCCACAAAATCTTCTTCAACATCTCCGTCCTCGACCCACCATGGGAACCATCTCGCTCGCCATGCCCTGGTCCCCCGGCGAGAGCGCCGTGCAGGCCCTCATGCACCTGCCGCCGGACATGGACAACCCCACCGCCTCCTTCATGACGCCGCAAGCCGCCACCATGCTCGCGCGCGCCCCCACCATCGCCGTCGGCGCCCTCGACGCCCAAGCCCGCCCCTGGGCCACCGTCTGGGGCGGCGAGGCCGGCTTCGCCCAGCCGCTCGGGAACGGCGTCTTCGGCGTGCGCACCCCGGTCGATCGGCGCTTCGATCCGGTGGCCCTGGCCGTCGTGGACGGGAAGAGCGAGGGGGAGCTGGTCAAGGAGAAGGGCGTCGGGAGGATGGTGGCCGGGTTGCCGATCGATCTGGTGACGCGGAAGAGGGTGAAGGTGTATGGGAGGATGGTGGCGGCGAGTTTGGGGAGGAGGGGTGGCGGTGGCGGTGGAGAAGACGGGAAAGAGGAGGAGGGGAGCGAAGTGAAAGAGGTTGGTTATGAGGGCGACGACGACGATGGTGCGGGTGAGATGCAGTTGGTGGTGCGGGTGGAGCAGAGCCTCGGTGAGTCGGTGCATATTTCTTCCTCCCTCTCTCCTCCCCACCACCACAACAGCACGTGCTGGCATCGTGCGTTCCCCGTTGCGGCGACAGACAGCGCCCACTCTTTATAAGCCCTCCGGGGCTCGACTCCTATCGCCGCCGGTAGCTCATTGGTAGAGAATGACGTTACGAAAGGATGGATACATGTGCATCCTGAGTCACTTTATTGGAACAGGATGACGGCGATTAGTTATCCGTCATGGTTCCGGGTTCAATTCCTGGCCGGTGGCATTTCTTTTTTCTTTTTTAGTTGGCCATTTGATCACTGCCGCCGCTGCATGCCCTTTTTTGTGCCCTCAGACTGACCTCAGCAGGGAACTGCCCCAAATATCTCAACTCCAAGACCATCACTCCCGCAACCCTTCACCCAGAACTCCTCTCCGACTCGCCCAACCTCACCCCCGAAGCCCGCGCCCTCATCGCCAAATGCGATCTCTTCTTCATCTCCAGTACCAACGGCACCCTCGACATGGACGTCAACCACCGCGGCGGCCCCACCGGCTTCGTCCGCATCCTCCCCTCTTCCTCGCCCGACTCCCCCACCACCCTCGTCTACCCAGAGTACTCGGGCAACCGCTTCTACCAGACCCTCGGCAACCTGCACACCACCCCGCGCGCCGGCCTCTGCTTCCCCGACTTCGCCACCGGCGACGTCCTCTACGTCACGGGCACGACGCACATCCACGCCGGCAAAGACGCCGCCGCACTGCTCCCGCGCTCCAACCTCGCCGTCGCCATAACCATCACCGCCGCGCGACTAGTCCGACGCGGCCTGCCCTTCCGCGGGACGCCCGCCGCCGGCGTCGGCAACGCCGCCGCAGAGCCCGGCAACAACACCTCGCTCCTGGGCAAGTCGCCCTACAACCCGCCAGTACGACTACTCGCGGCCGAAGGAAACCTCCTGGCGCAAAGCGGGCAAGGGCCACAAGCGGAGCAAGAACTCACGGCGACGCTGGCGTCGACGCAAGCCATCACGCCCAACGTCGCGCGCTTCACCTTCACCCTCAGCGCGCCGACGCCCGTCGCGCCCGGCCAGTGGGTCGCGCTCGACGCGAGCGGCGAGCTCGACACGGGCTACAGCCACATGCGCGACGACGACCCCACGAGCCTGAACGACGACTTCGTCCGCACCTTCACCGTCACGTGGGCGTCCGGCTGGGACGACGACGCCGCAAACGACGGCGTCGCGCCCATCAAGCCCTCCACCGCCTTCACCATCACCATCCGCCGCCACGGCCCCGTCACCGGCCTCCTCTTCACTTCTCTCTCCGCCACCCACAACCACACCCCCCTCGCCCCGCTCCCCATCCGCGGCTTCGGCGGCGGCGAGTTCAGAGTCGAACCACCGGCGGCGAATCACAACAACGACGACAACCTCACCCCCTTCGTCGCCGGCGGCGTCGGCATCACCCCGCTCCTCGCCGAGCTCGCTGCCTCTTCCACCGCCCTCGACCCCACCCGCGTCGCCCTCTTCTGGACCCTGCGCCGCGCCGACGCCGCGCTCGCGCGCGACGTGCTGGTGCGGCAGCACCCTGGCTTGGCGCGGGGGGCGAGGGTGTTTTTTACTGGTGGTGGTGGTGGGGACGGTGGGGACGGGGACGATGATGTGGACGCCGTGGTGGCGGAGCTGAGGGACGAACGCGCGGGGCTGGTGGCGGTGGTGGAGGGGCGCCGGCTGGAGGAGGGGGATCTGCGGGCGGTGGAGGCGGAGCGGTGGTATCTGTGTGCGGGGACGGCGCTGCATAAGGCGGTGGTGGGGTGGGTGGCGGTGGGGAGGGGGAAGGAGGTTGTGGCGGAGAGCTTTAATTTTTGAGCTGAGCCGGGGGGGGGGGGGGGAGAGGGAGAGGGGGGGGGAGGAGAGGGAGAGGGAGGGGGTGAGGTGGGTTGGGTTGGGTTGCTGGCTGAGCTTGTTGAAGGGGGGTTGTGACTGCTGTGAGTGAAGTGTCCGATCTTGTATCTTTGGGCTTGACGTTGATCTTGACTCATGTTGTAGAGAGGCCCGAGCCTCTCGAAGGGAAGTACGAGTTGACGATGGTGTACGACATTATGAAGCGCGGAAAGGGCTGGGTGATTCGACCCTTGACCTCCTGGATGCACTTGAGCGTTGATCTGATACGATATGGACCTATCTGTAGCGGAAACTCAAAAGGGCAAGGGGAATCGCAGAAGTGTTCTTATTATAAGTGGGTTACTGTTTTACTTTCATGTTGAGTATTTCCTGCTCATAGAGCTTCACGGTACCAAAACTTCTGATTTACATTGATTGTTGTCCAGCCACCAGATGAATTGGAACCGAATGCGCAGACTACCCAGAAAATATGTCAGAAAAAAGTCTTCGCACCGCGTTACATCCAACAGAGGCTATCAAGCTGTAACTATTCAGGGCCACTGGTACTAGTTTCGGCCAGTGTGTCGGCCAAGAGAGCAGGGCGGTCTGCTATACCCGCAGTGGTCTACACGATATCCGTCAGCATGTAGCCAAAAGCCACGTTACTTGGGAGCGATCGTACACCTCCGTCGACCGGCATGACTAAGCCAGTTATCCACTTTGCCTCCTTGCTCGCGAGAAACAAAACGGCTGCGCATATCACGACACGTCAGTGGCGTTGACTTCCCCTTCCCAAGACTCGACTCACCGTATCCCACATCCCAAGCCGTGCCCTCCTTCTTCATCAAGTTCTGATTGATCCGCGCCTGCCGCATCTCGTCCGACATGCCCCTCCCGCGCACCATGGGCGTGTAAACCATGCCGGGCGCGACGCAGTTGACACGGATGTTCTCCTGCCCGTGGTGCGCGGCCATGGCGCGCGTCATCTGCACGACGGCGCCCTTGGTCGTCGGGTAGAGCAGGCTGGGGTTGCCGCCGAGCACTGCAATATATCAATCACACAGCAGTCAAGACCACAACGCTCTATATCTCCTTTCCGTGGTGGCAATATGGCACTTGTACTCACACCCGCTGACAGACGACATGTTGACGACGGCGCCGCGCCCCGCCTTGCGCATCTCGGGTATCGCGTGCCGGCTCATCATCACCATGCTCGTGACGTTGATGCGGAAGTCGCGGTCCCACGCGTCCAGGTCGATGGATGTGGCATCGCCCACGGCGCCGCCGACGCCCACTACTCGCCATCCACCCCCGTCAGCAAACGGACGGATTTCCTCCTCGCTCGTCTTTCACCCAAGGAACGGCGCGGCTTGCAGAACGCAGTATTCCCACTCACCGACGTTGACGAGGATGTGCAGCGCGCCCCACAGCTCGACCGTCCGCGCTACGGCGCTCGCGCACGACGCCTCGTCGGTGACGTCGGTGCGGATGACTTCGGCGGTGCCGCCCTCGGCGTCGATCATGCGCTTCGTTTCTTGCGCCCAGGACGCGTTGACGTCCAGCAGGGCCACTTTGGCGCCGTGGCGGGCGAGGAGGATGGCGGAGGCGCGGCCGTTGCCGATTTCGCCTGGGTGCCTCGTGTGCGTCGATGAGGTTTGTTTGGGATGTTTGTGGGAGGGAGGGAGAGGCGGGCTTCGACGTACCGTCCATGCGCGAACCGGCGCCTGTCACGATGGCTACGTCGCCCGTGAAGTCGAACGCTCTTGGTGGTGTCATTGTTGTGATCGAGCTTTTTTTTCGCCGTAGGGTTTATTTAGGCTTCGAGGCGGTGGTCGTGAGAGGTGGTTCTACCAGCCGTCGGTCCGGGACTTTCTTGACGCTTGGGTTGTAGGTATTTATGGGCCGTTTGGCTTGATTGTTGCAAGGATGCATGGCTTCTTCATGACGTCGCCTTGCGTCGAGGGCTATGGCGTCTTGCCGAATCCCCCCACTGCTCCGCATCTCCCCGCATTGCCGCACCCGGATGAGCTTGACAATGCAGAAATTGAGGGGGTTCTTCCTTTTCGATGCCTTGGTACGACATCCAATGTTTCAGTGAGTATAGGTACGTACCAGCATGTACATATTCTTCGATCTTCCAAAGTTGTTGATTTTCAGGGAATACCACAAAGACGGTTTTGATAGACATTGGTAAATAGCGCAGTGTCATCCGCCATCTCCACCGCCTTCTAACCATTCATTCCTGCAGGAGAAAAAAATAAAAGCCCGGAAAATCAGTGCTCTGACATTTGCAAACGTCACATATTCTTATACCCTCACAATACGTATCGAAAGTTCTTATTCTCGAACTCCGTTCGGTCCAGCATACCTGCCTCGTCGCTTTCCACCTTGTTCGCCAGGCCATAGGTCCTGTCACGGCGGCGATTCTCCAAGAACATATACACTACACACCAACGTGTCGGCTGATCAGCAAGAAGAGCAAGTTTGCAAAGGACATCAAGGGGAGGGGTGTTCAAACGTACCAAGCAGCAGAACATGGCAGCCCGCTTTGATGCAATATCCGACCAACAAGCCGATACTCGCTCCTTCGTAGTACGGTGCCTGCGACTCCTTGACGACGAACGGGCCAGCAAAATTGCCCCAGCAGTATGCCGTGCTGCAGACCGAGGTCAGATGGGGGAAGGGGCGACAGAAACAGCAACATCCTTGGACGAGAAACCAGGACTCACAAGACAAGAGCACTGGCCAGGGATCGGTGCGTGTATCCGGCCATGTTGGACGATATGGTCGTCAGGGAAACGGTGAAGCCGACGGACTGCGAGTTGACGAGCCAGAAGCACACGAGCCTGCCCCAAGTGTTCGACCGCGGGAGGTAAGCCAGGAGCGCTGCGGAGACGGTGCAGAGGACGTTGGCCGCCGTGGCTGTCAGCAACCGTGCTGTTTTTGGGCGGTCAGCCGCCTGGAAGTCGCCAGCCAACGATGAGTTGTGGGTGGAGCTTACAGTTTCGGACGTTGAGGGTTATGGCGCCGCCGATGAATAGAGCAACGATTTGGGTGGCGTCGCCGACGGACTTGAGCTCGGTCGTTTTGGTCGTTGCGAAGCCCATGTCGCGAATGATTATTGTCGAGAACGAGTTTACCACGCCGTTTGGAATGGCCCTGGGTGAGTTGTTGTCAGCATGTGCCCGTGATGGGCCGCGGACCAGAAAGGCCGGACACTTACGCAGAGAATACAGATATGAAGAGCAAAATCGCTTTGGGGTCCCGAAACGCTACCCAGACCTGCTTCTTATCGAAAGCCTTGTTTTTGATTCCCGTTTCGTTAGTTGAAACGCGCTTGACAGCAACCAGGCGCTGGCGCTGCTTGAGGAACCAAGCGTTTGATGGAGAATCGGGAAGCATGAACCAAAGGATAACCGCCCAAAGACAGGTGATGCTGCCAAGCTAGTGTTTCAGGTGAGAAAATACAGCCCACGTTTGTATTGGAGACTAAATGCACGTACAATGTAGAATATCAATTTCCATCTCTCGGGCGTCATGTTCTCAGGTAGCTTCGAGATACCCATGGAGATGTAAGAGCCGACCTGGAAAATAAGCTTCAGTAAATTTATGCATCTTCTGTAATGACTAGTGAGGAACGGGACATACTATACCGCCCCATCCCAGAGCAGAACTGAAGCAAAAGTTAACGAAGACTCCTTTTTTGACTGAATTACATAAATACTTACTACCATATGCATTGGCGCAGCGGAATCTCCCTCCGTGTATACCAAAAGCCGGTCATGAGAGTCAGACCACTTGTTCAATTGATAGTAAGCAGCCCGATTCACAGTTCATGGCTCCATAAATGGCACTTACGGTGTGACAGCAGCCTCAAAAACACCCATGATAACTACACATTTTATCAACCGTTGAATCCTGGCAGGAGCAAGTAGTAATTGCGATTTGACATACATCTTACAGCCACTACACAGGTCAGCTTTTGCCGTCCATGAAGCAAGTAAATTGTGAGACTCACTAGCGCTCGAATACGATCGACACTGTGTAAGAATGATGACTGTGACCCCCCAGCATAGGACACTGACAGCCATGACTCTCTGGGCTGGCAATCGACCGATGAGCCAGCCGCATGGATACTGTCCGAAGAAGTAACCAGCGTACACAACTGGTTGCACGTCACGTCTTGGTCAAATCGCGCTGTGTATCATGCAAGCGGAAGAATACATACTGCCAGACAGGTAGTTGAACTGTTGTCCATGGAGACCTAAAGCCTTTTGATACCCGAAGAGGTTGGCATAGTTAAGGGCCGTCTTGTCCATGAATTGAAGGGCTTGGGTGATCAAGAAGGCGGGAAGGATGATGAGATCAATCTTCCATCGGACGGTTTGGGCCTGAGACATGTGTCAATCAAGACCTTCTCATTGTTTTCTCGTTCTGAAGCAAATTATGTGGGTACTGATATACCTCTCGCTCGGAAACCTCAATATCAAGGGCCTCGAGGTACTCCTTGTAGCCAACTGCATTTTCCTAGTGCGTAAATATTGTTAATGATCTTCTCCGCACTTGAGCTAACATGCCGGAGATGCAGGAGAGCGTACCACTTGGGTTTCATCCCTTTTGAAGCACTGCGAATTCTCCGGGATGGATGATTGACGTTCCTTGTCTATTTCTTCCCGTCGGTCGACTGCGCCCTTGGACTCCGGCACTATGTGCGCCATCCCGATGACGCGCGTCGGGAACTTTCTGACACGGAAAGGTTCCAGTCACCTTGACTTGCTATGGAAGTAGAGGCAACTCAAGTAGGGTGAGAGCAAACTTGTTAAAGTGAACAAGGATCGTATCAGGGAACGGGATGTAAGTAAAGGCTCTCAAGTGGGGGGCAATGGGCAGCCTGCATGCTTACCACACGTCACCAGGCCGAAATGGTTGGCTCACCCCGCGCTGTCGATCTGGAGCCCCGCTGTGGCCGCAGACCACTGGCTGTCACTCGTGGAAATGCCGAGGGGCAACCCCGCAGGGACAGCCCAGCCAAGCGAAGCGGATTGAATTCAACGAAGATAAGTTTGTATGACATCAAAAGCCGATTCGCTGAGCGCTTCATGCTGGAGAGTCGAGAAGCTGTGTGTGAATCTTGCCCCTCCTTCTTTGTCTTCACCTCACTGTACGTGTCCTCTAGACAGGTTATCGCTCTCGCTGCCTCGCCCTGCGCATCGATGGCCAGCGACGGATATCTCGCGAAGCCAAGCGGCGAATGCTGCCTCCAAGGCACGCTGCACAGTGGCGAAGCATGTGGTGTCTTCGAAACAATTGCTGACGTCGAGACGTACGTCTCCAAGCCACGGCAGGGCAAAGCGAACGGCCACATCCTGTTATACTTCCCAGATGTGTGGGGCATGTTCCCAAACGGACTTCTCATCATGGACGGTTTCGCAGAAGCCGGATATCTCACCTTGGGACTTGACTATTTCCGCGGCGTACGGCACCATGACTGCTTTCGAGAAGCCTGCTAAATGTACACGTCAGGATCCTGTCTGGAAGCACCGCAAGAATCGGCACGATCGATCAGACCCCGCCTTCGACTATGAGGCCTGGAAGCGCAAGCACACAGCCTTCGCCGACGCCGCCGTGCCAAGGTGGGTGAATGCTGTGAAGGCGCAGTACGGCAGCGCCGGCACCAAATACGCGTGCGTGGGCTATTGCTTTGGGGCGCCGTATGTGTGTGATGAGCTCGCACGCGATACAGTCATGGCGGGTGCATTTGCACACCCCGCCTTCCTGACCGAGAAACACTTCTTCCAGATCAAGAGTAAATAACCATCAGTGTCTCTTCCTCAATGTAGATCCCAATGCTGACGAGACTGATGTAGAGCCTCTCTTTCTGTCGTGTTCGGAAATTGATCACACCTTTGACCAAGCATCAAGACGGCGAGCGTTGGACATTTTGCAAGAGGGAGAGAAAACCTGGCATCTGCAGCTGTTTTCAGGAGTTGAACACGGGTTTGCTCTGCGGGGTGACCCAGATGATCCTTACCAACGTATGTTGATTCTTATGTACCATCACCCAGCGGGGCTGACATGATCTGGCAGGCTGGGTAAAAGAACAGAGCCTGAGCGGTATCGTAGGCTGGTTTGATATGTGGCTTTCGCAATGATGTCTTTCTGATTCTACAGCTGATGTTCCTCGTCATTGTAGACAGCGTGTGAAGAAGGTCTAATCAGCCGTAAAAATGGAGTATTACACGAGTATTGAAAGCTGCTGCAGAGCTTCGCATCAACACAGGAAATCTAAACAGTCTTTTTTACAGTCTTCCTTCCTCAAGACCTCCTCACATATGCCTCTCGTCAAACCCACTCAGCATATACCTCTCGCAAATGGTACGTAATACTGCGTTAAGAGGGCAGTACCGCCTGTTTTCTCTCTATTTAGTGCATCACCGGGACTCTCCGTCCATAGCACTTAGCCGAAATCACAGAGATTGTATAAAGTATTGGCGCTCTTATCCTAGTACACGTGTGCACTGGGCCTAGGGCCATGACCAGGAAACAGCGTCGAAGTAGGTGAGCTAGTCCTTTAGGCTTTGATCGATGGTCGAAGGTCAAATGGCGAACTGGCCTCTCACGAGTCGGGGCAATGTCGCGGACTGCTTCTGTTGTCTGTATGTAACGAAGTTGGTAGAGTATGCATGAGCAGCCACAGGCACTTGGTATCGGTTCTGTCGTATTTGAGTCCAGATGCTCATTTTGATTGCCATGTAGTGGCATTGGTGGAACACGGAAGCGTAAATGTGTGTCGTGCAATTTGTTGCAACAGCTCAGACATAGTCTCCATTTATTCTAAGCAGTGTGAAACTACTCTTATTCTCATTCCAAGAGATACTCGGGAGACCGAAGATCCACCCATCCCAAATTCGGTTCAGACTGCTTCCAGCCCAGCCGATCCTTGACCACCTGCGGGTAAGTCTTGACATCTTCAATGGGGTATGATAGAAACGATATTTCCTGATCCAGTCAGCAATTCTGGCGTCATCGGCTCCCGAAGAGTTGGACAAACCTCCTGTCTGTACACGCCCGAGCAGCAGAACATGATGTGCATGGTCCTGCTCCCATCTTTTTGGCTGTACTGGCCGCCACCATGATATAAACTGCCAAGCATGATGAAAGCCTCGCCTACATTTAGGCAAGCATCCACAACGCCCTTGGTGCCGTCGGGACCAAAATCAGGTTGCTCGTCTCCCCAGAGATGACTTCCAGGAACAACTCTCGTGGCACCATTCTCACGGTACGTGTCACAACCTGGGACAAAGAGACCAAGTAGCATGTCGCGGTTCGGATGGTAGGCGCCAGCGGGGGCGTGACGGGCATGGTGGTTCTTGTCGTCACGGTGCAGACGTTGGGCCGGGGTACCCGGCTGGATGTCCATGGTGATGGCGATGGAGAGGAGTGGCTTGGACAAATTGACCGAAGGCTCATTTCCATACCAGCATCGTGTCTCCAGAGTGAGAAAATGGACCACCAAGTCCTATTCAAGATAGACAGTTGGCGGCTGGAGAATGAAGCCAAGGTCGAGGGGGGATTGAACTACCTGGTACAAAGGGTCGGCGAAGTACCTCTGCCGTACTGTGGCACTTCTGCCGATCAGGCGGGTGCATGTTTTGGTCTTTCCTTCCAGAGCTTGATAGGGGGTTGGCCAAGTTTGATGAGAGGTGTCGTGACGGCGGCACACTCACCTCCAACCTTGTTTCCTTTGTCCTCTGCATCGAGATAGGGCTGTACCTCTCGCTTGGCTTGGGCCAGGGTGGCCGCGTCAGTGAAGTCTTGCACGATCACACAGCCATCCTTCTCGAGAGCTGCAATGAAGTCGGCCCTCGGAGCCGAGTACGGGATGCGGTGGACAGAGGGGGCGGGAGGGTGCATGGTGATAGGCTGAGCAGCGGGCCCAAACAGGGAAGGGCAAAACGCGAAAAAGGCCGCAAATGGGGTTTCGGAGTGCTACGACATGGATTATATTGTGGATGGCTGGGCGGGGTGGCAGAGACAGGACCGATCGCACCGGCAGCCCCGCCCTATCACGCAGCGCACGCGGGCTGATTGTTACATAAAACCGGCGGGCGCGCAGCTCGCATGCATGGGCCTGGCGGGCAACAGCCGACGCATGCACCGTGATAGAAGTCACCGCTACCTTCGCGGCGGTCGAGGTCCACGTCCTTCGCGGCGATTAAGGTTCCCCAGATCGGCCGGACCGAAGACAGACAAAGGGGCCGCTCGGCGATCGCTCAGGCCGGGTGGCGGGCGGAGGGTGGAGCAGTGACTGCGCAGCGTCGACGACAGACTTTTGCGCAGGCTCCTTGGCTGTTTCGGAATCGTCGGTGTCTCGCCATGACTTGAGGATGATTGGGGGCGGGGGGCTGTGAGACGGGCCGTCAAAGGCTTGGTGGTTGCTGGGGCTGTGCCAGAATGCGCACCCGGGCTCCACCTGTGCGCAGCGAGGCAGACCGCAGGACTGCGACCCGCGCCTTCCCCTCACTCATCGGTGCCGTGGGTCGATGATGCGTCTGTCTGACGAGAGCGCGCGAAGGCGTCGAAGATATAGGGCCCCGCAGCGGTAGCGGACGCGTGGCTTGGCGGGGGTTCTATTCCTGCGTTGGTCGAGTCGGCGGTTGGTTGCGGCCGCGGATCCCAATCACAAGCGAGGCGGCCCGCGTCATCACTAAGCCCGCCCGAGGCCGCTCCTTGCTCCCTCACAGCCTCACACGACGCGCGCCCGAATCGACATAATGCACTGGCGCCCCGGCCGCCCTCCACCAAACAATCGCTTCCGCGTCCTCTCGTCCCAGCTTCCCTTTCCAACCACTGCGTTTTCCTAGAGCTCGTCCTGGACGCCGTGACATGACGCAATGCTCGACGAAAACCTCCCCAGTACGTCCGCTCTGGCGCGACGCGCTATGGCCCCCCAGCAGACTGCATGCTAACCAATCCACAGCCTTCTTTCTCAAGCCCTCGCCCGCTGTCAAGCACGACGAGGCCTACTACTTTGCCCAGCATGGCTCCGAGCCCGAGCCCAACTACATATTAAAACACCCCGACCCCACACTGCCCGCCGGCAAAAACGTCTATGCCGCAGGCCTTTTCGATGCCTTCCACCCGGAAATACTGTACGGCGAGGTCTACATCAAGCCCGAGTGGACATATCCCACCCTTTCAGCCGAGGAGATCAGGAAGAATGGCGGTGTCGCCCCGCCTCCCCAGCCCGTGCTTCCGACCGAGTTCGCCATCAACTTGTATGACCCGGACCAACAGGTCATCGTAAAGCAGAAGAGCGGATCATGGGGCGGCACCGCGAGCTACGAGTTTAGCATGCCACAGAACACCTTTCGCTTGCCCAGCTCTTCCACATTAGACCGTGCCCTGAGCGACCCCACCGCCGACATCTCAACCCCTAAGATCAATTTCGTGTGGAGGAGAGAAGGCAAGCTGTCCAAGGATCTTTCCTGCTTCATGACTGGCAAGTCGACGGATCCAGCAAAGAAGAAGAGAAAGACGAGGGAGCCGGATATTGCCGTCGCTTTGTTCCGCGCCCTTCATGAAGTCACTGTCTACGAATCCAATCTCTACCGGGTGGAAATGGAGGATCCGAAGGGTCTTGAGATTGTGCTTCTTCTTGCAGCATCCACCATCAAGGCTCTTTATTTCGGCCAGATCAATGAGACTTTCAACGTTGGCGATGCTGCCACTAGGAGGACCACGGGCGGCATTCTCGGAAGAAAAAAGTCATTGCCTCTTGACAATGCCCTCATGGCCACTGGAGCTCTGCCAGCTCGCCCTGCTGCCCAGAGCGCTCAGAGCGCCCCTCCACCCGGACCTGCTGCTGCGAATCTGAGGCCACCTCAGCCCTCCCAGGCGGATATCAGGCGTCAGTCCCTCCCGCCTTTACGGACAGGATCGTACCAGCAACAAGAAGGACCCCAGCCAAACCGGGACCCCCGAGCCCAGTGGGAAGTCGACGCCGAGAAATCAAGACTCAAACTCGCCCAAGTAGCAGAAGCCCGCGAGCAGCGCCGCGCACAAGAGGCGGCACAGCGCGAACGGGAGCGCCAGAGCGAGGCCGAGCAACGGCGCCTCCGCAAGATGAGCGAGGCCGAGGAGAAGCAACGGCGCAAGAAGGCGGCCGAAGTCGACAAGGAGACGGAGCGCCTGCGCCGCAAGTACGGCACGCAGGAGAACCTGCTGCCCGCCCAGCAGCGGCACTCGATCCACGGAATGCTCGGCCCGTCCCAGAGGCAGTCCGGGCCCTCCAGGCCGACCCCCGCTCCGCAGCGCGGGCCGCCGCCGCCGCAGCCTCAGCCGCAGCGGTTATCGAACGGCTTGTTCGTCGCGCAGCAGGCCCGTCCGACGCCCCCGCCGATGATGGCGCCGCGTCCGCAGCAGCGTCCGCCGCAGCCGAGACCGCAGCAGCCGCCTGGCACTTGGCACAGGCCGGCTGTCAGCCAGAGCGCGTACTTTGGCGGAGGAGGCCAGATTAAGCCCGAGGATGGCAAGAAGTTGAAGCAGCCGAAGAAGAGCTTTTTCGGATTGCGGAGCTCGAGTGATGAGGGGAAGAAAGCGAAATTGGCGAAGAAGCAGAGCAGCATGTGGTAGTGCAGACGGACGCTTTTGGCTACGTAACGTATTGAGGCTGTTATGGAAAAGCTTTATGTTTCTAGGTCGACGGGAACGGAAAGGAAAGGAAATCACATTAGGCGGCGTTGGTAGGTTGGGATTCTCATACCCGGGTAGGCTTTCAGGGTTCAAGGAAGGAGTTTATGCCAGCATCACAGTAGCGCAACAACAAATCCAAAGGAAAATAAACTATGAATAACACATCATTTAAATCATTGCACGAGTTTCGTCTCCAAACTCTCCATCGTACTCACTCTGCGCCCGTCGGCTGTTTTTCGAACACTTTCGTACTGATACTGTACCTAGCTCGATATCAGTACGTCACTGGCAAGGAGGAGTTTGGTTTCTGGAACAGTGAATCGATAAAAAGCCCCGCTTGGCTGGCAGAAAGAGCATTAAATAGCCCAGCATGGGGCGATTGCGGGGGGTTTGGTCATCACCTGAGGAGCTGGCAGGGTGTTGTGTAGATGTTGACTTTCGGATGCACATCTGGTTTACATTAACCCTTACACGTACGTACAATGCACCTGCTGACCAGCCTTTCCCTCGGAACGTGTAATAGAGTCTTTCATAAACGACAACACGCCTCTAGATCTATGGCCATTTTGTTACATTACAGTCAACCCGGATCCACATTAGCGACCAGTGACACCTCATCCTTCCACACCTCCGGTGAACAACGAACGAACCATCCCCTCATCACGCCAACTCCATCCCCAGACCATCCTTCCCCTCCTTCTCCCCCGATGCGGCGCCCAGCACCTCGCCCGGATGCACCACCGCATACAACACCACCACGCCGAGCATCAACACAGCATCAAACACATACGCATACCACTCACGCGTCAACAGCGCGCCGTCCTGCCCGCTCAAGTACTCCGCAACCCGAAACACGCACCGCACAAACACCAACCCACTCGCCCCCATCAACACCCAAAAGTGCTTCCGCCACGCCTGCTGTTCAACCGCACTCCCACTCCCCCCCACCGCCGCGACCGCGGCCGCGTCCCTCTCCACCCCCCTCTTCCACCATGACCCCACCACCAGAAAAAACGCGAAAAAACCCACCTGCACCACCAGCCCGATCTTGATGACGTTGTTCCCCAACCGCACCTTGGCCGGGTCCGGGTCGCTGCCGAGCGCGCCCGCGGCGGTGATGCCGCCCCCCATGCACTGCAGCAGGAAGGACGCGACGTCGCCGACGACGAAGAGCTTGGTGAGGAAGCGCGGGGGGATGAGGGCGTGCGAGATGGAGTTGGAGTTCGGGCCCGCGACGAATGCCATCAGCCGCCCGAGGAGCATGTAGAGCGAGGCGGCGAAGAGGGAGGGCGCGAGGAGGATGAGGAGCATTTGCGTGACGAAGGCGGGCAGGCTGGTGAGGTGGTGGGTGGAGGCGAGGCGGGAGGCGTAGCCGATTAGTTCGACTAGGGGGGGGGGAGAGGGGGGTTAGTTTTTTGGGTTGGGGTTGGGGTTGGGGGGGTGGATCAGCGTACAGAAGCCGCCGATGATGAGGGCGAGCATGAACCAGGTGCGCGTGCGGAAGCAGAGGTAGCAGTGGTATAGGGTTGGGATGGCGAAGAGCACGGCGAAGACGCCGGCGGCGGCCGCGGATGGTTGGTATTTGTAGTAGCCGTAGCTGGTACTCATGGTGGATGGGGGGATAGAAAGAGAGTCCTCGAGGTATGGGATAGCACCGTTTAAAACAAATTGTAAAGCGAATGTGATAATTCTCGCAACGAATAGCTCAGGAAGGAACGAAAGCAAGAGAAGGCGAAGAAGATGATGAGAGATCCAAGAGAAAGCTTGACGGTTTTCTTAAATCCCAACTATTTTTACACCTGCACCTCCACTACTGCGAGGAGATCTCCGTGTCGAAACGACGGAGGCACATTTGTACGACGACTTCTACGTATGCTGCGAGCGTGGATTGGTTGCCATGAACGATTCACACTTACCCGATTGGGAAACCGTTGCGAAACGTCACGCTGCGCCTCCACGAAGGAGCTCGACGTGGCTGTATAGGAGATTAGGGGAGGAATCCTTTCGGGCTCGGGTTTTGCTGTCCGAAAATCATACGACAGAAATCCTTAACCAGAACGATTGGAAGCTGTTGAGTGCGACGCTCAAGAAGGCCGCAGAGGAGGCTCCCGTCCGAGGATCTTCGCAAGCACGTGAGCGGAGATCGGCGCAGGCATGGCCCGGGCCTCGGAACCACGCGACAACGCAAGGACGCTCCAAACGGCGCGTCATCCACCCTCTCCACACAACACGCTATCCTCCCGTCCCGCTTTGACCCATCGACCTACCCGCGTCCCATCTCGAACGTCGACTTTCCGTGGTCATCGCGCCCGCTACCGGCTCGGAAAACATTCAACCAAATCCCCAACAACTCCCACCACCGCGCCGCGAAGCTCTATTAAACCTCTCCGCCTCCATCTCCTTATCGCAACGCTAGACGGGCCCACCAACCGTGCCAGACGCGAAAGGGCAATCAAACGAGGGAGAATAGAACATGTCGTCGCAACGCAAGCGTGAGTCCGCATCGTAAAGTGCACACATCTCGCCACCCACCCATCTCCCTTCCCCCCCTCTTCATCCCCCGTCCCTTCTCCCAACACAAACGCCCCGCCCCGCCCCTCCCCACAACCGACATCAACGCAACCACCCGCTAAAACCTTCTCCTCCTTTTCCCCCCCTCACAGGCACCGCCTCCACCGCCTTCATACCCGACACCGACATCGACCCCAGCATCCCCGAATCCGCCACCCTCCGCGCCTCCTCCGTCGCCACAGCCAGCAAGAAACTCCGCGAGACGGCCGTCGTCGAAGCAGCAGCAGCAGCAGGCGCCAACGGCAACGCCCACAATGCCCACAACAACAACACCAGCGCCGCCCGCGCCCACGCCCGCGCCCCGCCCGTCTCCGCCCCCTCCGCCTCGGCCTCGGCCCTGACCGCCGCCCTCCTAAACCTCGCTCCTCCTCCTCCTCTCCCGCCGCTGCAGCTGTCGGCGGCGGGGCCGGCGGCGGGGGCGGCGAAGCATGGCCACCCCAACCACCACCTCGCGCTCGAGCCGCCGTTCGAGTCGCCGGTCAAGGCGAGGCATGATGACGTCGATGATGACGATGATGATGACGATGGTGTGGGGGGGATGTTTGGGATGGGGATGGGACCGGGGATGGGGCCGGGGCTGGGCCCGGGACCTGTGGTGATTGAGAAGCGGCCGCAGGAGCAGCAGCAGCAGCAGCGGGAGCAGGAGCAGGAGCGGGAGCAAGGACAGGAGCAGGAGCGGGAACAGGAACGGCGGCCGCAGCAACGCATCAAGGGGGATATGCGGCTGCAGAGCTTCATGAAGATGGAGCACGCGGACCTGGCGCGGCTGACGTATCTGATTTACAAGGGCCTGGTGGTGGGGTTTTCGGACGAGGAGAGGGCGGTGATGACGGAGCGGTTGCAGAGGGTCGAGGAGAGGGTGCTGGCTGGGGAGAAGGCGGGGAGGGTGTTGAGGGAGGTGATCAGGGAGGGGTTTGTGGATGAGGACTTTGAGGGTGAGGACGGGGATGGTGGGGATGGTGGGGATGAGGATGAGGATGAGGATGAGGATGAGGATGAGGATGAGGATGAGGACGAGGATGAGGGGTTTGAGGAGGAGGGGGGAGAGGATGATGGAGAGGACTTGGATGCACGCTGGACGTACAAGCGGATTGAGAACTGGGTAAGTAGACTGCGCTCCATTTTCTTTGTTCCTGAAGGCTTTACAGTCTCATGCAACAAATGCCGTGATCTCGAATGGTGGACTTGGTTTTTGCTTGGTAAATCTGATCAAGATTGTCTAGATACGAACGACGCCACCGCCTCGGCCTACTGCCACGGAGAAAGCGAGGAGACGGTATCGATCTCGGAGACGTGCGCAGAGAGATCGGGAGCGAGCGGAGAGGGCTTGACGAAGTTGACTTGGGACATTTCAGGACACGAATCAGGAAGAATCAGGAAGAATCGAGTAGTAAGTGGATGGGTATTCTTAGCGCTGAGTTGTCTTTAAATTTGCCATTGAATGGTCGGCGAGGCCAACTAAGGTACGCAAGGAGTGCATGCGACCAAACCCAACAAAATTAAATCTGTTTCAACCTCTTCACTCTTACATCACAACACAAGACATTGGGAGAGGAGAGGACAATAAGGTGAGAGATCCGCAGAATCTGTTCCAAAGTCCAAAAGAAACTTGGTGAATATAAAATCCGTGGAAATCCTTCAAGTTGAGCTCTTCCTCTCACGCGCGCAACAGTTGACTCCTCAAATACCTGAACACTTGATATACACATCTATACGGATGCTTCCGATGCAGCCATGACTCCAATACCGCCTCCTTCAGATCAGCCACGTTACCGTATACGCAAGCTCAACCACCAGCCCAATGACCACCATCCACAACAACAACAACAACAACAACAACAACCCTCGGCGGCTACACCCGAGTGTCCACCTCCGTCGCTCCCATACCTGATGAACTCGGATGCCGCCGCCGCCAACGGCGGTCCATTCTCTCGACGAGCCTACGATAGATACTGGTCCTCAACCCCGGCCGGCTGGGATCCCAACACCCTCGGCTCCTACTACCCCTTCCCTCCGATGCGGTCCCAGACCTCGTTCTCGAACTACCTACCGTCCGTCCCACCACCGCCCCACCACTTCCCTTGCAACGACAGCATCCAAACCCTCGAGGAGCAGCAGCAGCTGCAGTGGTCGCAGCATCTGGAGCTGCTGCGCCTGAGCGCTCCGTCTGCTGCCGAACAAAGCTACGCTGAGTGGCAACGCAAAGTCGACTCCCTCAAAGCCCTCGAGCGCAACACCGCCTACCGCAACGCCGCCTACCGCAACGCCGCCTACGACTACGCCGCCTACGACTACGCCGCCTACTGCGACTCCGTTTCCGGCTCCGGCTCCGGCTCCGGCTCCGGCTCTGGCCCTGGCTCTGGCCCTGGCTCCGGCTCTGGCCCTGGCCCTGGCCCTGGCCCTGGCCCTGGCCCTAGCTCTGGCTCTGGCCCTGGCCCTAGCTCTGGCTCTGGCCCTGACTCTGGCCCTGACTCTGGCCCTGACTCTGACTCTGGCTCTGACTCCGACTCTGGCTCTGGCTCTGGCTCTGGCTCTGGCTCTGGCTCTGGCTCTGGCTCTGACTCTGGCTCTGATTCTGGCTCTGATTCTGGCTCTGATTCTGGCTCTGATTCTGGCTCTGGCTCCGGCTCTGACTCTGGCTCTGACTCTGGCTCTGACTCCGGCTCTGACACCGGCATCGACCCCGACACCATCGTGGTGCCGCCCCCGCCGCCCAGCAACGACGCAGCGGAGGCGGCGACGGCGACGGCGACGGCGGAGGCGGACCGCAAGCCCCAGCCCGAGACGAACGACGCCGACGCCGACGCCGACGACGACGCGTCCTCCGAGTACAGCTTCGCGGGCCACCCGCCGGCGCTGACGCCGGACTCGACGCCGCCGATGACGCCAACAGTAACGACATCGACGAGACCGCCGACGACGAAGGAGGAGAGGGACCAGTTCACGATGCACTACGCGGCACCGGCGCCGTGGAGCGGCAAGCTGAGGGGCAAGTTCGGGGCGTATGCGCAGGAGGACCTGGAGCGGGCGTCGCACCGGGTGCTGGCGTGGTATGCGGGGAAGCTGCAGGGCGAGATTGCCGCCATGAAGGGGAACGCGGCTGCGGTGATGGCGGGGCTGCGGGCGATGCGGTTGGGCCTGGATGCCGTGAAGGCGGATCTGGAGGTCGCGAGGGCGGATTTGAAGGTGGAGCAGGGTCTGGGGGAGTGAGTGGGTGGGTGGGTGAGTGGAGGAAGTGGGGATGGGACGACATTGTTTAGGACTGAGGTAGTGATTTTTTTTAATAGAGAAAAAGTAATTGGTTGGATGGGGGTTCGCGCCTCCCGCTTTTTTAACCACCTTTCGACACCGTATCTTTCCAACTATTCTCCATTCGTGATCGCTCTCAACGTTGCTATACCATTATCCCTTGGACTATATTGTGGAGCCACATTTTTTATCTCCCATACCGGGCGAATCGTTTTCTGACTCAAAGCAAAAATCACATTATACCCACCCGACGCCCTTATCCCACGTTCCTCTAATATTAACTTTTTCCGGATCCTTCTAATTCGAAGCACGAGGAGATATAGATCCAATCAAATATCCCTAGTTTAATTCTAAACACTACTTCTATAAGTCTAGGTAAGCGCTGTTACTAGTATCCACCGCCATGCGATAAAGAACCGCGGTAGGAACTGTAACTTCAAACCCCTAAACGTAAAGTGGTAACCAACATCCTAGAACCACCCACCAGACGAGGTAATGACTCCGCCTTACCCATCGCCACGCCAACACGCTAAGAGGAAGCCAACAACCCTCCCCCCCAGACCCTGTATCTTCCCCACCCCCACCCCGACCCCCTCACCCTCCCCCCTCCCCCCCTCATCCTCCCCTGATTCCCCAAATTCCCCCCCTCCCCCTC